TGTAAAAAAAATGTGAAAATATGACAAATCATTATATGGAGGAATAATTAAGGTACAAAAATAAGAAAAGTAATAAAGGCAGAGGGTATAAAGAAACAAAGAAACATTTCTGAAAACATGAAGAATATGAAAATATGTAATGACACTTAGAATGAAGTGAGGGAGGAAAATAGTGTGGGGCTGTGGCCACCACAAGCACATCTCAACCTCAAGCATGCAAATGAAATGCAGGAATAAAGAAAATAAAAGGTACACAAAATGACACGGCAAACATAAGGAGTTCCTTACGAAAAGGTTTTAATTTTTTAATATTTTAATTATGTAAAAAAATGTTTTAATTTTTTTAATATTTTAATTATATATATAAAAAAAGGTTTTAATTTTAAAATGGAATTACTTAGTTAAAAAAATTTAAGTTTAAATTATATAAAAAAATGTTAAGTTTAAATTATATATAAAAAAAATGTTTTTGGGAACAAAAAGGTTTTTTTTGGAAAAAAATGTTTTTGGGAACAAAAAGGTTTTTTTTGGAAAAAAATGTTTACGGGAACAAGAAAAAGGCTTTTTTTGGAAAAAATGTTTACGGGAACAAAAAAAAGGTTTTTTTTGGGAAAAAAATGTTTACGGGAACAAAAAAGGGTTTTTTTGGGAAAAAAATGTTTACGGGAACAAAAAAGGTTTTTTTTTGGGAAAAAAATGTTTACGGGAACAAAAAAAAAGGTTTTTTTTTTGGGGAAAAATGTTTTAGTTTTAATAAAAAAAGGTTTTGATTTTGAAAAAGGTTTTGATAAAAAAAACAATAGAATTGCAAATGCAAACAGACAATTAATGGACATGCAAACAATCCTATACGACACAATCATGGTTCATACAGATCAAAATCTACAGATCTAAACAACAATGAAGGTTAACATGGCAAGGATGCAAATAAATATGAAAAGGCAAAAGGTTTAGTAATTTAACCTACGAAGCGGAGGTTTGCTTCGGTAAATGTGAAAAAGGTTTGAATAAGGGAACACTGGAGAGCTCCAATCCTTCTAACGAGTTGTGGGAACGACCGCCTTTCTTCTCTGGGGATCTCCTTTGTTTCTCCCTCTCTCTCCTCTTTTCTGAAGAAAACCTTCTGACCCCTCTTAGGTTTTTTCCATTCTCCTCCTTTCCAACAAGGCAACACATGTATATATAGGGAACAAATTAGGGTTAACACCAAATTGTCAATAATGTCCCTAAAGCCCATTTTAAAGCCCAAACTAAATAATTAGTTAAGAAAAAATAAAATTTAAATAATTTAAAATAATTAAAATAAACTTAAAATAAAAACTAATAATCCTATTGATTCCTAAAATAAAAAATATTATAAAAGGAACAAAATTTTTCAATATTTTTTTATTTTATGATTTTTTGGATATTTTTATGAATAATTTAGAAAAAAGTGAAAAAAATAATATTTTAAAAAATGATTTAATTAAAATACGAAAATAATAATTAAATAATAATAAAAAACTATTTTTGTTATTTTTTAATGAAAGATAGAAAAATTTAGAGTAAAAATAATAAAGAACAAAAAAAAGTGACAAAGGTGAGATTTAATTTTTAAAATAGTTAGAAAAAAAAAAGATTTAATTTTAAAAAGAAATTAGAGAAAAAAAAGATTTAATTTTATAAAAGTTAGAAAAAAGATTTAATTTTTTTAAAAAAGTTAGAAAAAAAGATTTAACTTTATAAAAGTTAGAAAAAAAGATTTAGCTTTAAAAAAGTAGTTAGAAAAAGAAGATTTAATTTTAAAAAAGATAGAAAAAGATTTAACTTTAAAGAGGAGTTAGAAAAAGATTTAAAAAAAGTTAGAAAAAAGATTTAATTTTAAAAAGAAGTTAGATTTTTATTTTTAAAAAAAAATATTAGAATTTGATTAAAAAATGTGTTAGAAATTAATTTAAAAAAAGGTTATAAAAAATTTACTCTTGAAGAAAAGAAAAAAAAAAAAGTTAAATTTTAATCTAAATCCTAAAAGTTAGTAAGAAGAGCTTTAAATAAATAAACTAAATAGAAAAAAAAAAGTTAATAAAAAATATTAGTAAAGTTATAAAAAAAATTTAATTAAATTATTATTAGTTAAAAAAACAAGATCTAAAAAAAAAGGTTAATTTATTAGGTTAATAAGAATTTAAAATAAAAATAAAAAAGAAAGGGTAAAATTTGGGGTATTACATCATGCTACTTAATTAACATAATAAAATAGAAATGATGCAAATGAATATCAACTTACAAAACCATGTCAAAAGTTTTCTCATTGATAGATGAAAATCTAAGATCAAAGATTTGAAAAGAGTTTTGCCAAGACCCGCAAATAAGCAATTAAAGAAAATCAACAATATTGAATCAACGCATTATGTCATACTTATTTTTCGGTGCATTTTTGCCCCTATCGTTCGTCACAACTGTCACTATTCATACCACTACTGACCGACCTTGTCGCACATTTTCTTTGATTGCTTATTTGCGGGTCTTGGCAAAAACTTGAGTAGTTACCCACTGAATGTTGGCCGCACGTAGGGGCGTGTGTGGCGTCGGTTGGAGGTGATTCTTTTTTCTACGGGTTTTTTCGTAGAGTTGCGAACCAAGTGGTGGTAGCACACTCGTGATTGAACATTTTGTGGCAGAGAACAAAGACACGGAATGGACGTGTGTATTTTGAACAACAATGTTACTAGGGCAAACAAGAAAAGGACGTAAAATATGTAACTTCTAATACATTTTAAAAATGTAGTGTAAATGTTATGTGTATAATGAAACCACATTCAAGTAGGGATGTCAATGGACAGAGTTTGGGTAGGGTACTATGGTACCCGTTTCGATACCTGCAATTGAAACAAATCTCCGTACTCGGACCTATACCTGTACCCACTAGAGTATCAACATTGACACCCCTACCCGTATCTTATGGGTATGTAAGTGTCCGTATCCATATTTGTAACCTGTATTTTTAATAAAAATAAACATATTAAATATAAAATATAATATTATTTCAAAATTTTAAAAATATTAAACGGTTTTTTTAAAAAATAGTTATTGTTGAATAATGAAATAAATAATTACTTATATTAAATATGTAGTATTTCAAAATTAATGCTTTTTTAAAATATATAAATATTGCGAGTATGGGTTGGAGTGGGTAATAAGGTGTCCATACCCGCACACTTCTCCGCTTATTTAAGTGGGTAACTACTCAAGTTTATGCCGAACTTATTTTTGCGAATTTTTATCCTACTCAATGTGAATAATTTTCTGAACACCCATTAAGGATGAGCCAAATTGTCATCCCTACGTTCAAGTGTATTTATATATACACGAGTGATATACAATAAATAATTACAATTAATTGATTGTAATTGATATATATATATATATATATATATATATATATATATATATATATATATATATATATATATATATATATATATATATATATATATATATATATATATATATATATATATATATATATATATATATATATATATATATATATATATATATATATATATATATATATATATATATATATATATATATATATATATATATATATATATATATATATCAATTACAATCAATTAATTGTAATTATTTATTGTATATCACTCGTGTATATATAATAAATATATACTTGATTCTTAACAATTATAATTGATTCTTAACCCAAACTTTTACTTGATCTAATTACACTTACAGTGATTTGAATTTAAATGTTATGAATTTGAAATAAATTTAACTACACAGCTAACAACAATTCAATTAATTGAGTTTTTACATTTTAGCTTTGCATCCAACATAAATACACGTTCCGAATTTTAGTCAATTTAATTACACATCTAACAGTTTTTAGTCAATTTAATTACAAATCTAACAACTTAGTACTTAAATTTAGATGTGCCGACATTAAGTTCAATCTAACTACACTTATAATGACTTTACCTTTTCAATTTTAACATTTTAAATTTTTAGTCAACCTCATTAAATGAGTAACAACTTAGTTAAATATGTCTTGTCTCATTGTCTCATCAAAATATCTTTACCCTACAAAGATGATTTCAACAACAACCAACAACAAAAAAAGTAAAAGGGTCTAATAGAAATTTATTTCTTTCATTTCTTCTCATCTATTGTTAAATTTGAATTTAATTAATATGCAATGACAATATAAAAATGGTCTAATAGAAATTCAGTTTTCTGTCATGTCACATCGATAATTTAAAATTTACAATATAATTTGACGGAATACATGATGGTGATTGATTGACAGTGTAAAAAATCTTTACACTATATCAATTAAATTCGTTAAACTTTGATGTTAAATTAATTAGAATGTTAAATTGATTATTTAAGCATGAAATTGCAGAAAATAGTACGCCTTTTCTAGCTAGGAGCTCAAAAAACACATCACAAGAAACCATGTTTTTTTTTTCTATCAAATGAGTTGTGCCAAGTACTTGATTCTTCGAACTTTCAGGAACAAATAAGTTTGTCCATATTATAACAATTGGAAGACCAAAAGAGCATGACCCAGCTGTCCTTGAAAGTTGAAACTTTTGCTAATAATATGAACTTTAGTGTTCAGCAAGTAAGTAACTGTAACAGTAGTGTTTTTCATTTGATAGGGTGAAAACTGTAGATACATCATCCCTGTAAAACACAGTTTCATGCATTCTAAGCCAATAATAACATCATCAAAACACAATAGAGCTAGTATATAAACAAAGTAGAAAAAAACACTATGCAAAGCTATGTACCTGAACGGACACAGGACGAAAAACAAACCAAAATAAGAGAGATTCATTATTTATTGAGTACATACAAACCCTTTCAAATTTAATTTCCCATCACTGCAGATTATGGTTAGTGAACTCCTATACACATGTTCACCGAAGAGTTGGAATTTCATAGTCTGTCAAACTTCTAAACTTCTATTTACAAGCACTTCATTTTAGGGGTGCTGTTCAATCTGCAAGCAAGATAACCAAATATTATCATTAGGTGTATGACAATAATGATTTCATGTTTTGGATGAATACACTGGAAAAATAATAGAGATTTGAAGAGTTTCTTTTTGGCCTTAAAGCAAGTTGTGCTTTATTATTTATGCCAGTTTTTATAGTAGCACAACTGCTGATGACTAAACAATGATTATCCATTGTCCATTTGCATAGTCATCACAAATCAAGCCTCATACCCTTTTATCCTCAAAGATTAAGATAATATGTTAATGCCAGCAGCATAGCAGCACAGACAAAATGGATCAATGGGTTCTCTCTTTCTCTTGAGGTTGGAGAGGGAAGAGGGAGGTGGTTTCTTACTCTGTTCTCCATTTTGAAGGTAGTTCTCATTAGTAGTACCCAGGTAGGGACACCTTGGATAGCTCTCCATTATATCTGATAAGAGAACAATCTGTTAGTGCTAAGTGCTAACATACTTCCATAGTTTGATGTACAAAATTAGAAGCCTGGTTAAAAGATATAACATCAAGCATAAATGGAATTGCAATTTACTCCTCAGAAAACATACTCATTCATGAAAGAAGAAAAGCATGCAACCACACTGAAACAGATGCAGCGATGACTCGTTATGAATTGGAAAGAAAACATACCAGAACTCTGAGAAAAATCAGCAGTCAGATCTGAAAGGCTGAGGTTTCTGGAAATCTGCCCCAAAACTCCAAATGATGAAATATCTGGGTCAATGAGTGCTCCATTCATAGAATGGGAGTTTGAGTCAACACTATTAAATGATGTAACAGCTGCATCACCAATAGTTGGGCATGCTTCCAAGACAGAGCCATCATGACCAAAAATGTAAGGGGGACTACCCGAATATCCGGGTTCTGATTTTATCATTCCCCCATTAATTCCTTGTATCAAACCCAAGCTTGAGTTTTGAGATGAAAGCATGCTTGGTGGGCTGCTAATCCTATTGCCACGAGCAGATATCTGAGTCAAATCGCGAATACTCGTGTTCAGTGTTGATCCGCCATTATTAAACACATCATGTAACGTGGAATCAAGAGCATGTCTCCTATTCTCTGGCTTCACAACGGCACTGGCTTGCTCAGAGGCATAGCAAGATGGATTCTGAGGTACTGTTAAGATAAGAGACAAGTGTTGGAAAATTGCAAAAACAATTAGTCAGACATGAAAACATCTGTAGTAACAAAACAAGCAACTGGACTCCGCACTCTGTTTAATTATTCAACCACTTTCCAGCTTATCATTATATCTCTGGAATAGTACAGGTTGTATTTTAAGAATGAAAACATTTACCAAATTCTAAAAGAATATAGAGTAGCCTCCATGGTGTCCTTAACTTTGGTCTTCCTACTCTTCCAAAGAAAGAAAATTGTTTTCTCCCCGGATTTGACAGCTCAAAGAGGAAAGGAACAGTAGAATTTCACACATTTTACTTTCCAAACAGTTTTCGAAAATAGAGGGAAAGGGAAGCATGACAGCAATATCAAATATTTATAATAAAAGGCAATTGGGTGGAAATTCAATCAACCCCACCTCACTTCACAAAATAGGCCATTTCAGCTAACTAACTAAAACTTTGTGAGACAAGATAAACCGTAGTGTATAACCAAGAAACTAATATTTTGAATTGCAACATAACTGAACTCAATACTTAACTTGAGACAACACAAACTGGAGTGCATGAACTATTAACAGTGCAAATGGAGCTTACACCTATTTCATGTTCGCAATATTTCATGAATGGTAAGACCCGACTAATTTGATCCAACTCTATGCAATATGTTCAGAAGAGAAGGGAAGGTTCGGGTCGGGTCGACTGAGTGTATCAGACGCAAAATCTAAAACCTACTAGAGTGAGAGAAGGAACGGGATAGCTCATTAAAATAACTTTTAGGAGACTGGAAAACAGGAACAATAAAAGTTCACTTCAAAGGGAAGAAAACAATGTCCATGGAAATCATAGAGACTTACATGAAGAAATATGTGAACCATTAGAGTTGGGTAGTGAAGCAACAGCAGTTGATTGTAGCTGACTTAACTCAGCTTGTTCCTTAAGCAACCTGTTGAACTCTGTTATTTGCTCCTTCAGCAGCAACCTCAAATAATAAGCCTTGAAAAATTCTTGATTTTCTTCTTCAAGCTTTTGCCAAACTGAAGAAGCATCAATACACATGTACATGTTAGCAATTTCTAGAGGCTTCTTACACAAATCTATGAATACAGTATATCAAGCAACAAATACTATTGTGTATACAACTAAGAAATGCATATTTGGATAAGTAACTTTGAACTCACAATCAATTAAACATTTTAAACGTCACGTTTGGTCCTTTTATGCTAGGAAGCACATATATGACAGGACAACATTACAACCGGCAATAATAAATAGATAATTTTTACATTTATAGGACACATCACGGTTATAATATGACACATAAAATGCTATCATTAATTAATTATTGTCTATTCCCGTTTGTGTAGGAACATAAGTTCAAGAAACAGTAAGTAAAATAATTGTAAAATACAATTAGGAGTACTCAAAGTGTTCATAAAATTTTCAACATAAATTCATGCCTCAGATAAGCACAACAAGTACACAAGTATTATTTTGCGGTGTCTGTTCTTCTTTAGTAATAATCTTTATTAAGTGCTAGACATGCTGCAAAGCCTCAAAGACAGCAGACAAAACATTACACAAAAGAAAAGAAAAACGACATCTGGAAGGATGATAAGTAATCATCAAAAACAGAAAACGAAAGTAGTGCAAAAATGCAACTCTTAAAGGCTAAAGCAGATTTCATAATATTCATATCACATCTCAGCAGCAGAGGATTCCGTCATAGATACAATACTATCCACATTATATGAAAAGGCAAAGAAATCATCTAGAAGATTCTATCAACTCCAATGAAAATAAAACTCCACTTATTTGCAATTTGCATAAAGCAGTAAAGCAGAAAAACATAATACTGAACAAAAGTTCCTACCAAGTTCGGTAAAACCAGGCTCAATTTTTGCTTGAGCTAGTAGAGTTTCCACAACTTCTTTTGGGTTCATATATAGTTGCAGACATCGTTCTATGAGATTTTGTACCTGGAATGAGCCAAATAAACACCATTGCCAGTGTCAGATAAAAATGAGAGTAGAGTGAATGGTAAAGAGATTTTAGGAATAGTCAGTCCTTAAATACAGAATATGAGACATGCTCTCAATTACAAAGTTATACGTTGCAAAATCAAAGGAGGCAAGCAATAGTCCTTAAATACAGAACTTATTGTTGAGATATTGTAAAACATATTAGTACCAGTTAACATATTAACTGGATTGTTTGAGCACGTCTCTCACTGTTTGAGCACTTTATAGTTGTTTGCGCCCCCCCTTTTAGTTCACTAGCAACCTGAGGTTTATTTTTTTGGCTCCCCACTTTGCTCCAATACTGTTGGAGATTAGTTCTCAATCATAATTTGGTGGCTGTCCAACAGGTTTTCTCTTCAGCCTGTGCTACCTTGGCTCATTTTGGTAATTCTTCTGTTTGCCAATTTCTTTCTAGATTTTAGAATCTGGTGCTTCTGATCATGCAGTCGGTAATCCCTCTCATATTTAATCTGCCACCTCCTAAAACACTTCACCACATTACCCTCACTGATGGTTCTAACACACTCGCAGCTACTAGTACTGGTCAAAGAATAGAGTCATCGAGTATGAATAAAAGTTATGATTAAGTTTCAAATGACCTTGAAATTTTCCAATCCTACAGAACCTCTTACTAAAGGGTTTTAAGATAGTAAAATTCTCTCCGTTTTACCTTCATCCCTGCCATAGAAAATCCATGTATATTTATTGTATGTCATTAAGGTTCTTCCTCAACATGAATTCAAGAAATGATTTCTTGTTCTCCTTTTCCACGTTAAATTAAAAATAGTACAAAATAAAGAAGTATTAAATAAAGGTAGCACTATCTTCAATGAAGAAAATGACGTAAAATGTGATTCACCATAAAAGAACATATTCATCTGAATCACACCAAGTCATTAAGAAACAATAACATGCATGTGTGTGTTGAACAAGGTGAGGCAAAAGGTCAACTTACCAGCTGGATATCTTCCCGAGAAACCCGTCTCACAGATCCACTTGACATGTCTGAAATTCCCAAATGCATTAGGCATAATAAACATTAAGAATAATCATAAACCATTGACTAGTAATTTTAAGCCACGAAAAGTGAAATTAACAAGACAGAAAGAGTTCAGTTTTACTCCTGCGAGAAAAGTGTTAACCACTATTTAGTCCTCCATTAACATTTTGATCCCAAGAGAAATTTGACAACAATTTACACAATCATGGAAAATCACATCAAAATCACCTTTGTGCAATTCTACCATCTTTAAATAGGTTCCGGTGCCAGTCCTACTTTCAGTTTAATACATTGAATGCGAATCTTAAACTTTCATATGCGATCCTCATCTAACATTATATGTAATTGATCCTCATCTAACACAATATTCTCATATTTTTAATCTATGCACTTCTTTCACTATACTGCCCATTAAGTGCCATAAAGAATCACCAATCTTAATGGTTGTTCAATAAATTTTCTTTTAAGCTTAAAGGGAACTTTCTATCTTATACCTCCATCTCATCATGGTTGTCAAGATCTCGATCTAGATCTTAAAACTTACGAGTTTGTGACCTCACTCACCCCTAACAATCTCAATCTTAAGTAAAATCGTGTGTTGATGTCAACTTGTGAAAAAAACTATAAAAGAATCGTCAATCTTAAAAACAATGCACTTGTTTCACTATTATGCCCATTAAGTACCATAAAGAATTGTAAATCTTAATGGTTCTTCAATAAATTTTGTTTTAGGTTCAAGGCGAACTTTCTATCTTATACCTCCATCTCATGGTTGTCAAGATCATGATCTAGATCTTAAAACTTACAATTTTGAAATCTCACTCACCCCCAACAATCTCGATGTTACGTAAAATCGCATGTTGTAGCCAAATTGTGAAAAACTATAAAATCATTGATTTTGTGTGATCTTGGCCAGTTCTGACCACGATCAGCCGTTTTTTGGCCACTACAATCACAAGTCCATAAGGATGACAAGATGCAGAGGCGCAACAATTATGTAAAAATACTTCAAATATATAGTATTATTTTCTCATTTTAGTTGGACTTACAATTTTTGTTACGATCTTATGTTTTACGATCTTGCAAGCCCTTCTTGATCTTATGAAAATAATTGGGTAGGATTCCAATCCTAGCTACGATCTTATAATCCCCTCCCGATCTTATGTAAGATCTCGATCTTGACAACCTTGCATCTCATTCACCTAGCTGGAATCTTATGATTTGCATCTCCTCCTTTTTCTTTATTGCTTTGCATCCAAGACACCTACACCGTAGCATTTTATAGTATTGTATGATCTCCATTTTTTAAAGTAAAAGCCAATGATTAATAGGCCTTCTTTCCATAACTCTGGTCTTCCATTTAATTCCTCTCTTGATATGTTAATAAGTCACTCATTAAAAGGGTTTACAGAAGACACAGAAAGACTTGTAACAAAATAACAGAATTACAAGGAGTCATTAATAACAACAACTTTCCAATAGACAGTTAATTGTAATACAAGAGGCGGAATGAATAGCAAAGACAGAGATTTGATAATGTCTAGTAGATAGTATAATAAAAGAAAAAAGGGGCTAGAATAAAATTGGAAAAAGATAGTTAGCAAGAACTTTTGATTTGATACGGAATTTGATAGAAACTTTTAGCTTATTAAAAGAAATTGGTGAAATTCTAGGAGAAAAGGTCCACAACAGCACGGCAGTAGAGTACAAATGAAGCCCAGAAAAAGAAATGCTAACAGAAAAGGAAAATGACAACCAGAGCTTCAAGATGCAACATCTGCTTCTAGGAAAATGCCTAATCAAATCCTCACCAATACCATTCTCCAGATGTAGGTCGAACTCACTTCTCCATCTGAACTCGCAGCTCGTCTATCAACAGATGTCGTTGTCACCCCTGGTTGGTTTGACGTTGCTGCACCAACAACTACCTTCACTCCCCCGTGAACTCCTTGAACTTCTTTCGATACTCCCCCTGCTCCCCACTTGCCTCAAACCCATGAACACGTGTTGTTTGAAGACAGCCTAAAAAAACATGCCATATTCTAGTTTCCAATCACTGGTACCAATTCAATGCCCTTCTAAACACACCAGTGCCACTTTTAGTCCTTGGAAACTTGATATACGTTAAAATAATGCTCAATGCTCAACCGAATGTATCCACCAATGTCCTAACCCATGAAGTAGCTACCTCCAATCTTCTCATCCTCCCCACTCCTCTATGGTCCCATAAGCTGCCTCATAGTTTCTCCAGTTTGCTCTCGTGATTACCCTTGTCTGTCCTGCCCAGTGTTTTCGATGTTGGATAGCAAAAAATCTGACACATGACGCTGACATATCCGATGTATGGTCGCGTGGTGCCGGCCATCCTTCACAAATTTGGCCATGACGGAGAGCCAAAAAAACCACCACCAATGTCCACCATGGTGCTGCCGTGACCGATATTTGACAACACTGCTCATGCGACTCCCAGTTGATCTTGAGCCTTCAAGCTCCTGATCCACCGCTTCTATGCAGTATTCTATTCGCGTCGAGAGCACCCAAGTTCTCAGGTGAAATTAGTAGCATATTAAAGGATATGAGTACTATCTCATCCACAACATTTTGTCCCTAGTTTAATTCATCTTAATTCACATAAACACAGAAATGAACCCATAATATGCCGCCATCAATATTTAAACAGATAACTTCAAAACTCGTAGAGAACCCAAAATATTTTTCACAAATTAGCTACCAAATATTTAATATTAGAATCACTAAGCAAAAAATGAAAACCAATTTCTGAGCTTCTCTTCTCAATTTCGAAAGAACAAGAACAAGATAAAAGTAAGTAAAAAAAATAATTACAAGATCAGTTGATTGATGCAGAGAAAAGTTGTAAATAAAAATCAAAAGAAATAGAAAACAATTGGATGAATTAGACGCACCTGAAAGGATTGGAGAGAGGAAAAGAACTCAAGAGGTGACGGGAAGTGTTGTATAGAGCTTCCGATGATCACCTTTTCCCAACACCAATAATAATAATAATAATCACCTTATTATTCTAACCAACTTCATCTAAAGAATCAAATACTTACCTTATTTATATTTTTTATTTTTATTAAAATAAAATTAATTTAGTCTCTTTAATTTCAATGTAATGTTTTGTCCAAAAAAAAAATATCAATGTTAGATAGTTGATAGAGAGAAGCTGGGTGGTAGATTACATTTGATTTCTGACATTTAATACTTATAATGGATCATTAGTTTATAGGAAATGATACTTAGCTTATAAATTAATTTAACTGTTTCTAAAAGTAATTGATTTATAAATTGAAGTATAAATTGATCATTAGTTTATAGGAAATGATACTTAGCTTATAAATTAATTTAACTGTTTTTAAAAGTAATTGATTTATAAATTGAAGTATAAATTGATACTAGTTTACGTTCATTTAATTTATCTAATCAATATCAAATGAGTTATTTCAAATGTTTAAGGATTTGATAAATTAGGATGAAATAATATAAAAGAATATTTTAATTAATAATTACTTTTTGGTGTATTATTACAAAATTAACTATTATTCAATAATATAAAATATAAAATTATATTTTTCATTTATTTCATATACGTAAATTTTGACTACATGAGACATATGACAAAGTAGAAGTGAAAAATGACAATGATAAAAAACAAAGAGTGAAATCTATAGATAAAAAGAATGAAGAAAAGTAGACTAATAATAATGAACAATATGTCATATCCCAAAACTTATTCTACCATTTTTTCATTTCATTTGCATACTCTTACTCTAGGCATCTATCATAAGATATTCATTTACACTTCTATTTCTCAATTAACATCATTGGTTCAAAATGTTTTTGTTATTTATGGTACAAAACATTTGAACTGTGGCAAGGAGGTTAATTCATAGGCAAGGGCTTCTATGGTGCACTTGTGAATCAAGCATATAGGAGCATTGTGATATACACGACTTTGGATATTCACTTTATTGACCTAAGTCTTTGGGGATCCCTAACTTTGGTCTAGACATGTTGATTATATTAGCTTACATCATGGACAGATGAAATTGAAAGTCATGTGCAAGTTTGACTTTGGTCAACAAAGTTAGTCATAGAAGATTCACTTTTTGTTGACCAATTTCTTTGTGGGACCTCTTACATGTTACTCACTCTGTTCTAAATTGTAAGTCACTTTGTCAAAAAAAATTGTCCAAAAAGTCGCTTTACATTTTCAATACAATATTAATGATATTTTTATCAATATACCCTCAAATATTTATTGTTATTTATTCTTTCAACTCTATTAATTTCTCTCTCATGTGTAATTAAGAGGAACATTACTGTAAAGTCATACATAATTTGTCTTTTCCATCAAGTAATAATTAAGTTTCTTAATCTGTGTGAAATATCCAAAACGTTTTTTTCAACGAGTTCGATTCACGATTGGACTCGTTTAGAAAGATTATCCCATGAACAATTTTGATGGGAAAGTCGAAGATCAGTCTGAAAGAAATGGCTAGTATTAAGCGTAAATTTGTTAAGCCAATAGACGACTATCTCAATAGGTTCTATTTGCTAAAGGCAAGGTGTTTCACACAAATTCCTGAACATGAGTTGATTGAAATGGTCGCCGATGGGTTAGACTATTCCATCAGAAAGAAATTAGACACCCATTATTTGAGGGATATGGCCCAGTTGGTTGATAGGGTTCGACAGATAGAACATTTGAAGGCTGAAAAAGCCATAACAACTAAGAATAATAGGAGAGAAAGGGTAGCGTATGTCGACATAGATGAAGATGATCAAGAGACATATAGTGACCCTTTAAACTTCGAAGAACGCAAAATCAAATTGGCCGAATTAAAACAAGGGTCACCCTATTCATCTAAGGTTCTTGCACCTTCGAATGGGAAAAATATCGTCGAGCCAGAAAAGAATGATAAATTCCATAAGAGAACATATATGTTCGACGTCACTAAATGTGACGAGATTTTCGACTT